TTGAGATGGGAAAGAGGGGTATAGAGTGGAGAAGATGGGGGTTGAGATGGGAAAGAGGGGTTTAGAGAAGAGAAGATGGGGGTTGAGATGGGAAAGAGGGGTATAGAGTGGAGAAGATGGAGAAGAGTGGAGAAATGAGGGGTATAGAGTGGAGAAGATGGGGGTTGAGATGGGAAAGAGGGGTTTAGAGAAGATGGGGGTAAGGTAAAAAGGAAGGGCTAAGGGTCATAGCCATTGGAAAAAAGGGCAACTATATATCTTATAAACATGTAATGCAAATTTTTTTATTGTTTTCCTCAAATCTTTATAGTATATAAATATCAGAGTGTTAACTTTCAATGCTAATGTCACTAACATGTCTAAGCACTTTCATCTTGGTGTGAGCTACATAGGTATTGGACCTTTTGCAAAGCTATCAGAAAAGTATTTTAAGGAAATCAAATTTATTAAATGTTCAAATTCCATTCATGATAGTTTAACTTATTTTCGATCAAATTTAACATTTTATTATTTTTAATGAACTGTTTATTCAAGATTTCAACGTTACTTCTGATGCAAATATTTTGTCAGGATTTTGTTTAGTAAACATCCAGAGTTTTTTAAGACGTTTCCAGTTATCTGTAAACAGATAACTACACAGAGAATTATCTGTTGGCTGTGTAATTACAGGTTTTACTTCATTGCCATTTATCAGCTGTTTTTCTGCTCCAATTGCAGTTACATCTTGAAATGGCTCCCTCGTGTGTATAAGTCTCAGTTCAGATAAAAAATTTACACTTACTTATGTGTGTTAGAATTCCATCTTTTTGTTCAATAATTGATCAGTCTAGTGACAGGCAGCTTGAGAAAAGATTTTGAAGGCTAGCCCTGGTATCAAAAAGAATGAATGGAGCACAGAATTTGCACATTCTGATGCATATCAAATGCTACATGTATACAACATATCTTCATATTCATTACTATTTCAAACTTAATGGTGTTTAGTCACTGGAGAGTTGCCAGATTTTTAAGGATGTTAATGCTTTGGCTGTAAAAACTTCTGTTTCCTTATTAAAAGTGTTTCTTGATATGGAATTGAAGGTGATGTAATGTACATTATATATTTTGTGAAAGATGAAATGATGTTGATAAATTAAAAGGATATCAATTTAAGGGAGATAACTTTTAACACAAACCATGCATATAGCTATAATGAAATTATGTGACAGTGTATATGTAGTATACATCTTGAAGTGGTCATGTACATATGTCTATGACTATATCATTTAATTGGTAACTTTATTGCTTGCTTACCTAGTTATCTCCCTTGGAAAGTACCTGATTATCTCCCTTGGGAGGTTTCTACCAGTCTTCAACAGGTGATCTCAGCTGTCTATAGTGTTATTTATGATATTCTTCAGTACAGCTCGGGGGACTGCTTACATTGGCAGTATATGTTATTATGATAATGTGATTGGTTTCCACTGAGTTTAGATACATTAACCAACAGGTGATGTAGGTAATGAGTCAGTAATGACTATTTCAGACTTTGTATACTCACTAATCATAAATGTACTGGGCTGTTTTTAAGTTTCAGACCTAAACCAGCAGTGATGGTGTTATATAATACCTACAGTGTGGGAATATTTACCTATCCATTATACAATGGATGTATTCTTTAGTATTATGTAGATTGACTCCTCGTTATCAAATATGGAGAAGATATTTTATAAAATGAAAGCTATCTAGTTAAAACAAAAGATTTTTGGGAAATGTAAGTTGTTTCGTTTGGTAAAATTTTGCCAGCATTATCTGTCTTTTACAATGAGAACATTGTTCAAACAATTTTTGGATTAAGTAAACTTATTGCATTCAGTGAAATCAAAATTGAAAAATTGTAGGAAGTATAAGTTGTTGAAGACATTTACTTGTGGTCTGTGGAGGTGCTAGTTAGCATGTTTCATGTGGTCCCGTGGTCTGTGGTGTTATCAGTCAATCTGGTGCACTGATTACATGATGCAGCTGCATCAATGAGTGCCACCTAGTGGTAGCCAACTGTGTAGGGGAGATTATCAATGAAGAACCATGAGATTAGATTGGGGGCTGACAGGAAATCATGTCCTAATATATGAAAATCTGAAATTTGAAATATTTTCTAGCATTCTGACAAGGAGGTATCCTTCTCTAAAACGGGCACTTTTTAACTGTCTTTCTTACACTTTGGTGATTCTTTTTCTTGTATCCTTTATCACCACCCAAAACTTTCGTAGATTAAGGTTGTTGTAAACATTTTGAACTATTCTCCTCCAAGGATTAATCATCAGGATTTCCTTTCAATCTTTGCAATCCAAAAATAAACCAGTGATTATGAGAGGTTTTCTGTGATAAACATGTAGATCAGAGATTGAGTGTCTCAGTTAAGGGTGTATGTCATGATAAGACTAGGGCACCAGACTGCAAGTCCCAGCTCAAAGTCTGATAGGTTTCCATGTCCAAAACAAAAGTAACCATTTTGCATGTTCAATAATTGAGTATTAGATAAGAAACATATTTGAAAATGTTTTTTGTGAAATCATTTTTTTGAAATCGTTCATTTTCAAAAATTATGAAATTTATAAACTTTTCATCTGGTTTTTAAACATCTTTCTCAACCAAGCTGGATTTTGGTCATTGATCACCTCCAAGGTTTCAACAATGAAGACCCCAAACATTACTAAAAGAATAAGAAAGATCTATGATGCAGTCCAGTTTATTCTTTGGCTCTACTTATTGGTATTGAAGGATACTATTCACTTGTGTGTCTTTCATACAATCCTGATATACATACTTACATATGACATGTCTTAAGTGTATGGTACTGTACATCCATAAGTGAAAGGAATGGAATTTCATTTTGTATGAGGTTTTTTATCATGCCTCTTAATAGAAACAGATATCAATGATATATGGTAATGACATGAGATACCCTTGTCATCACCAATAACAGACTCCATCACAGTCTCTCTAGCTCTGTCTTAATCTGTCTGCGCCTCTACATCCACTATACCTTATACAGGAGGAGTGGTATCCAGCTGGCTTTTATCAGGACTGCTTACCCTTTGACACTCCTAAATGTTTCTTCTTGTATTTTGAAAATTCACCATTTAGATAAAAAGAATAAACTTTTTAAAGATTAGTCTGACATGAAGTTGAAGGGACATTCTACCAATGAAAACTTTAAAGTGCTTCAAATTTTATAACATTAAACAGACCAATCAGAGAACTGCTGATTCTGCAGTAGAAAAGGAAAGACAGGATCATTGATACCTTAATACATTGATTGAATTGGCTGTGATCAGTCGTTATAAAGGAATATTTCTACGTAATCAATTTGAAATTTTCTGAAATGGATACAGTAAAAGAGAAGGAAAGCCGTTTAAAATGTTATTAATGCTTCGTCTTTTCTCTTTTTTCTGATGTTAATCGCAAGAAATGTAAAAAATGGAAATATGTGCCTGTTCCGTTTGCACCAATAGATCAATCAAAGTACCCTTCATCACTTTGCAGACGCAGTCCGAAGAACGTTGTTTGTTTCTTGATGCAGACCAGTTTTATATACACAAAAAATCACAAGGAGATATATCTTATTATTCTTAAGTAAGGCAGGTTGTGTGCATTGAATATTTCAATTCTCATGCAAAAAACAAATATATAGACGTGTTTTTGAAGAAGGATGAAATACACTGAGATTAATACTGATCTAGTAGGCGTCTGCGTTATTTTAATAATGATGAAGTTTTAATTCACGTCAACAAATTACAATGACAAAAAATAGTGCATATCAAAGTGGTCTCCATGTATGATAAAATGTAACTTTGGTTCCTCAAGCAACAAGAAATAGCTCTGATATATATACACGTTCTCCTTCACAAAAAGGAGGTAAGGTATATTTTGTTGTGGAGAAGATGCAGGCTAGGACAAATACACACTGACTCATCGAAAACTGGCCCAAAATCATGTTATTTTGTGATGTAAATCATGGTGAATGCATTATTGTTTTCCATTCTGTAATTAGTTTGTAGTAATAACCCATAATTGTGATGGTTTATGATCTAACATCAAGGCTAAATAAAAGAGAGTCGTTCAGGCATGACTAGACAACAACCGTAAACCCGTAACACTATAGAGTAAATATGTGACGGGGGGAAAAAATTAAAATAATTCAATAACAGTGCATTTTAAAAATGTGCATATCATGTTTTGGATAGTCCATGATGATGCACTTCTGCAGATGAACGCCTACTCGGGGACATCAAAATTTTTACGTGAGAGGCTATTCTCTGCATTGTTTGCTGTGTACATTTATGATACTTTAGTCACCACGCTGCATCTGACTGGATATCTACAAGTGTTCTGGTAGCCCCAGAAACACATTGACAATTATATATGAATTATTATTTCAATGTTTAAGTGATATTGGGTTACAGATTCATGTCTTGACAGAAATCCTCACATTTTTTTTACCAGTGGATGTTTGTCACCTTTATTAAAATGTGGAGAAACCTGTTCCTTCAATAACACATGTCCTTCCCAAAAATATTGGAAAAAATTGAAACAATTTTGATTTGAATATTAAATTTTTAATTTGGTTCCATGTTACATTTTTATATGTCTGAATAACAGCCGCCATATCATATTTCTGTTGTATACCTGCGTCACTTATCACCTAGTAATCAAATGAGTTAGTGTAAGAAATCAGGGGAGGTAAGTAAGGATGAGCCGTTACAAGTAGTTATAAACATAAGATGGGGCCATTCCAATGATATAAAGCAAAGTTAGGTCAGTTCACTAAAGATCACAATCAAATCATATAAAAACCTAAATGATTTTGAAATGTTGATTATGGTGCTTAACATATCAGTGTGCTTTTTTTTCAGAATTCTTTTGATGGAACTTAATAATTGAACATGTGTTGAATTTTCTGTTTACCATATATCAATGATTTTGAAAATTACAAAATATTTGTGAATTATATTTTGCAGGATTGTGTTGGAGAGACAGCAGGTGATGGCACACAAACATATCGCCATAGAAACCTGGTTGGAGGCCCTGGGTATGAGGGATTATTTCCGGGTGTTTAGCAAGTACAAGGGGGTGGAGGTAAGGAAAAGACAGGAAACAAATACTGAACATAATAATGATACATTAGGTTCCCAACAGTGTCCTGAATGTGTCAGCTTCTTCCTTGCTGTAAGTCGACCTGATAAATACAGATAAATCCTCCAATCTCTGTAAATATGTAATGTTATTATTTTCATATGTACATATGGAAGTATGACTCATTTTCAGACTGTGACATGTATGATTTATTGTTCCATTATCACAACTAGACAAGTTTGCTTTGACATGAACATGCAACAAGATATCCAGATTTTGGAAATGTATTGACAAGAATGTTTTACCAACCCATCTCAGCCAATCAGATTTACCTCGAAAGGAAAATGGTAATAAAATTTTCCATCCTGACGCAGAGTATCAACAGAAATTTGGAGATAATACAGGAAGTTTGTAATGATAGGATGAGGATGATGTATTATGGGTAATCATCAATTGCCTTAATGGGTTGTAATGAGAGTTGGTCGGAAATGAGTGTAATTAAGGCAGGGTAATTATATTACGTTTTGGGTATGCGTTTAACTGCATCAGGGTCTGCCTATAACTGCAGACAGCAGCTGAACTGGCCTGCACACTTATCAACTAATTATAATTTCATATTTTGCAGAATTTTGTTACTGTACTGCAAAATGAAATACTGTCTTTCATTCAATCATTTGGGGGAACTATTTGTGTACAATTTTGCAGAATTTTGCAGATGTATGACTCAATATGAATTAAAGTATTGAAAACGGTTTCAGACAGTTAATGGGTATAAAATGTAGGATTTCCTATGATTAAGGGGATAGATATGAAAGAAGTTTAGAAAGTAATATGAATAGATAGGGTTAAGGGCATGATACAGATTGAAAGGGGTAAGGGGCAGATATGAATTGATAGTAGTTAAAGGATGGATATAGATTGGAAGGGGTGAGGGGTAGATATGAATTGATAGTAGTTAAAGGATGGATATAGATTGGAAGGGGTGAGGGGTAGATATGAATTGATAGTAGTTAGAGGATAGATATAGGATTTAGATTGGAAGGGGTGAGGGGTAGATATGAATTGATAGTAGTTAGAGGATAGATATAGGATTTAGATTGGAAGGGGTGAGGGGTAGATATGAATTGATAGTAGTTAAAGGATGGATATAGATTGGAAGGGGTGAGGGGTAGATATGAATTGATAGTAGTTAGAGGATGGAGGATATAGATTGGAAGGGGTGAAGAGTAATTATTGATTTGTATGGCCTATAAGGGTAGATTTGATAAACGTGTGTAGAACATTGATTTCTTTTTTAAATTAAAACTTGTGGAAATGCTTTGAAAATCAGATCCTGTAACAAATATATTGATACAATTATAATATAGCCAAAGGGTTTGTTCAGAATGGTTTTGACACGAATTTATACAGATAAGATAATGATAGGGTAAGAGTTAAGGTGTTTCAGTTACAGTGGCCAACTGTATTACAGAACAGTGATTATAGTGCTATATCCTCCAGCTAGTTTATTGATTTTGTTTTGAGGAGGGGGACTTGTGTAGGGAGGAAGTACACCCACTGATAATGGCCAGCTTCAATATGGATCTCATCAACATTGGCCCCCATAGCAACCAACTTCAGATATTGATATTTTTGGTCATGTGGGACTAATATCTGTTATGACCATAAAATGCCATTTCTAATCTTCTGGTTAGATTTAGTGCCCTTTTACTGGTCCATGTACTGCTCATCATTGGCACTGTACATGTAATTCTGTAGGAGTTATGTCCCCTGTTTCATTGGAAAAAAATCTCATGTATTGCAAGAGTTATTTACCTTTACCTTGACAGGTGTTACCTGTTTTGGAAGTGTATGTCATATGGAAAAATGTTTAACTTAATTCTCAATCAAATGTTATAGACAGGTAGTAAAGATTTAATAAGTAATTTGTCTTATCACACATGGTGCCTAAGAACAGATGGTCTTTAATATTGAAATGTATACTGTATAAATAATTGGTATTCTTTATATACAATTTGTATATAATGTACAGTGTAAGACAAAATATGTGTTTAAGGTTTCAAATTAGCATTAAAAAGTATCATTTTTTTATCATTTCGTGGTGTGATTAATGAGTTACTATTATCATTATTAAATTTGATTCCATTTCATTTGAAATTCAAGGAACTCAACACAAATATTTATGAGTTCTCCATAAAGGCTCTTTAAATTTTAAATTTATTTTTAAAAAGTCAAACAAGAATGCTATAAAAACATGATAAGTTCAATACATCATATCTACCCTGGATGATAAACTAATTAAATCAGTGAAAGGGATTTCCTTTCTTTTGAGGGACAATAAATTCAAATTCAGGCGTGTTTCATTTTGATCAATAATAAAACCATTATACTTGGAATGGCCAACTCTGCTGGTTTGGAATAAACAGACAATGTCCTGGGAGTCCTAAATTGAATGCAATTAATTGATGGTTGTAGCTGTCATATGATTTGTCTTCCCCATCACTAACAGTGAGTCAATCCATAACAAAGAAAATGGACCATAACATTAGGATATTGGGGCTGGTAAGTTAAATTGGATGCCGGTTACAGCTGCTGTGTGAAGGAATTTTTTGTCCATTGTCATTTATTGATTTTATTTTGGTAAACAAAGGGAAGCAACTCTATAATAAAGTTTTGTTCATTCCTCTACAGGATCTGCTGAATTTTACAGAAACAGAGATCAAAGATTTAGGCATACATAACCCGGCCCTTAGGGCAAAGGTCGTGTCCAGTCTCCGCATCCTGAAGGAAAAACATCAGCGAGGTAAGTGGACCTATCGTTTTGATATGCTTTGACTGCCTTAATCACAAATATCTTGTTAATTGTCGCCAAACATGTCAGATATTTGCATTCAACTCCAAATGGCTCTCATTACAATTAGAAAGTGATTAGCTAACAACTTGATGTATGCAGGCAGCTTTATCAGTGGATGCAGAAATCATTCCAGCACTGAAGCCTGTACTGGCTAAAAACACTTGTTTTCTGAGGAAAAACTGTGGAATGATAAAAGCTATTTTTATGTAGAATGAGGTATAGTAACATGATTGTTTAGTTGACTACATGCACATGTGTTTGCTATGATAAGAACTTGTGTATTAACTTCAGTCTGTTAATGGTACACATCTGTAGATCTATACCATTTAATAACCCACATCTTCTTTATGATAGTTCTATTACATAACCGTTAAATTCTCTGTCTGGGTTTGATGGTGGTTCTGTTTGGGAATGAGCATTGTAGAGTAGTTAGAATCACCATCTATACGTTGTATGTTAATGTTGTCACACCTAATGAGAAAGCCTACAAGTAATGCAGAGTGACAGGCTGTGCTGCATGTCTCTGTTGGTGAGTTAAGGGTCAGGATTCTGACACTTTCTGTTACATTCTCTGTTGTTGTCGTTGTTGTTGTTGTCTTTGTCATCATCGCTGTCATCGTTACACAGGATTTCTATAACAGAAGATGTGTTATACTGATTTGATACTCGTCTGACATCACATTGTGTACTGGTGACATTAGTTCTTCTGCCTGCTTTCATTTTAGCATGTTCTCCTCAATACCTGTATAGACAAGGGTCATCATATTAAGTATCCATCTTACTAGTGTAATGTAGTGGTTAATAATCAGTTGTATCATTGGTAGTTGCTGGTATTTTAATGCCTGGAAGTTTTCATTTTTTAATTACTGTTCATGTTTTGTCAATGGCTTGAACTCTTTGTGCTTTATCAGTGAGTGGAACTTCTCATTTTATAACTGATTGACACTGTGTTTGTTTCATTAATGACTGGAACCGTGCATGTTTCTTTAATGACAGGAACTGTTCATGTTTTAATGACTGGAACTGTTCATGTTTTAATGACAGGAACTGTTCATGTTTTAATGACTGGAACCGTGCATGTTTCTTTATTGACTGGAACTGTGCATGTTTCATTAATGACTGGAACTGTTTATGTTTTGATGACTGAAACTGTTCATGTTTTAATGATTGGAACTGTTCATGTTTTAATGATTGGAACTGTTCATGTTTTAATGACTGGAACTGTTCATGTTCTATCAATTACCCGAAGTATCCATGTTTTGATGGCTTGCCTTTCATGTTTTAATAATAACTGTCTCTCTAACATTTCATAGTTGTACATTCTCACAGTACATGGTACACAATATCGTCATTATAAGGCTTGGTTTTATCATTTTAATACTAGCTTGGTGTTATTTTTGTATATGATGGTATAGTTGGTTCTATGCAGTTACAACATATCTGGTTTTTATTTACAGGATACAAGGTGGTACCAGGTCTCCATCGGAGCCTCAGTGCCACAGCACAGTAAGTATATCAACTTTTACTTTTAACTTTAACGTTTGAACTGTTACATTTAGTCAACATTTTTTATCTAAAATGTTTCAAGAATGCCAACATGAAATTTCTATTTTTCATGTGTCTTTTTCTTTAAGCAGGAATTCATAATAATCTTAACAAAAAGTATGATAATTAAAACCAAGAAACCTCATGACAATGAAAGTTTTCGAAGAGAAAATAAAGCTTTTAATGTTAACATCAGGTGTTTTACATCATTTTAATGTTCAACATACCTCTGTACCATATGTCGGGCCACTCATAGTTAAAAGCTACGTGAGCCATAGTTAGGTAAGATAGGGTTGGGTGATATTATTATTAACAAGTCACACTTCTGTAGTTATACACCTGTGAATACCTGTAATCAGCAGTTGTTTACACCTGTAATTACCTGGACAATCCCTGACCACCTGGTGTTGGTGATGGTTACATGTCTCTTATCAGTATGTGTTGACACATTTTATCACAAGTATTGGCACTTTGACTTACAGGAACTTTACAAGACAATCTGAAGGATCTATTAGGCTTGACACACATCACCCATACATCATAGACATAATGTTGTTTCTTTATCCTTACAATTGTGTTCTGTTCATATGTTGGTTTACTTCTTTTCATGGCATTTAGCGTCAGTTTCTAGTTTGCCTGAACGTTTTAATCTGCTATTTTTAAATTGTTAAAAAAAAATTTTGTTCATGTAGTTTTTGAATGAACTTGTTAGCGTTCTTTATTCTGGGTGGAACAGGATATTTTCAAGGTTGAAAGCGTTTTATCTGGGTTAGACAATACAATATAACTTGGACCGCATAGTTTGTGCAAGTGGTAGAGTTTTATCAGCCTGTGTAAACACTCAGCAGGAAGTTGTCCCCCTTAACCCCACTCATTTCTCTGTCAGAGTGTAAAGGCTTGTGAGAGACAACCTTGTCATATATCTGTAGCCACCACATACTTTATACTGGGTAAGCCACATGTATACTAGCTGTCTCTTGTACTCGGGTGTGTCAGTGGTGACTGGAATATTTGTTTTCTAATCTTGATAAAACCAAATTCAGGACTGACTTAAGTTCCTTATTCGAGGATACAAATTTCTTATAAAGAAGAATTTGCCAACGTGTGCTGTTTATATAACATTTGAGGTGGATTAGGATCTGGAATATTTGTGACTTGCCACAGTGTGCGAGGCTATAATGTTTACATGAAGACAGTGGAACTAAATAAGCTTTATCTTTCAAAGGAAACTATCACCAACAGATCAGATATTATATTTGTATATATGGTATATTGTACAAGACCGGCCCTTGATAATCAGTGTGGACTTTAAATTACAGACAGTTAAAGGCAGAACAACTTCAGTCACCAAGGTAACAAATACATTAAAAAAAACTTTCAGTTTTGCTTTTACAAACTTTACACAGCTTTTTGAGTGCTTATTCTTATCTTCCTATCACGATTGCCTTTAAACATTTAGCCAATATCTGTGGGTTTTTTAAATGACATCCTATGCAACAACTTGAGAATATTTTTCCAGCTTTGTGTCTTAAACAGAGTGGCTTGAGTGTGATTGGTACAGATATCACCCTGTGTAGATTATTGGTGTGTGTTGTTTGGTGCAGTATTTACCTTGCTTCTATTCTTCTCTGTAGTTGATTTTTCTATTTTTTTTATAATTACTTTCTTACAAATTTTAAGTCTTAATTATTGATCTTTGAATTCTTTTTCTCCTCCATTTATTTTAATTCTCCATTTTGTACAAAAAGTGACTTCCTTAATTGGCTTCCAGTTAAGATTAAGTATTTCAGAGAAGATCATTCACGTCTGCTGAAGTAATTAAAGCCTGCAGAGAAGTTACAGCGATAGATTAGGCACAAATTAGCTTGGGCAATTAAGTGATTTACCATTAAAGAGCAAAAATTAGGTCAGTTAGACAATTAAGTGAGTGACACAAGACACCTGCCAAGCTGTCCGTGTTTACAGGTAGGACACCTGTCTGACAGGTAGGTTTATATTCTTTGTTGAAACAGAAACCTTCTGGTCTTTGTTAGGTGAAGTTACAATGAGAGAAGGTGGACAGGTTGAGGTTGGTATTTCAAAAATATATAGAACTCCTAATCCACTACATTTAATGTTTTGTGATCATACTTAATACATGCTGAAAAAGATGACCTGATGCCCAAGGTGGTGACTGGTCACTGGTATGTGATGGTTATACTATGTGGACGTTACTGACAGGTGGTCGTAATCAGAAGATTGTGTTTCATGCCTTTGTTTTATTTCTTGCTTATATCACATGCAAACCACTCTTACTAAAGGTAGACTGTACGGTAGGTTATAGCGTAACATTGTAGGTAGGTTGTAGTGTAACCTCGTAGTGAAGAATATACATAGAACCGCGAGTAAGTATATAGTTGTCAAATATCACTGAAGACCAGCTTCCACAGGCACTTTGATCTAGACTTAATTTACTGGTTTATCAGCATCGGATAATAGCTTTCTGTTGTATTCTGACACTTTAAATGATCTACTGGAAGTACAGACCCTAACAAGATTATCACTTAGACCACTAACCCCGTCTCATATGCTTGTATGTGATAAGTTATGAAGGAAATGATTTGGAGAAATATATTCTTATACGCAAACTCATATACATTTTGTTGAATGTCATCATGCTGCTGGATGATCATCAAAAGATTACACACAATGCTATACAAAACATTGTATGAAAACACATATCGTTTATACTCAGATTACAATATTCAATGGGAAAACTTCCTCAGTGATAACTTATAAAGCAGAGTTTTTGATGCGTGTCCATCACTATATTCATAACAACATGTGAAATGTCTACACATAAAAATATGTATGTTGTATAATTACTGTTAAAAAATTCTAGGATGACTCACGACCAGTTACATTAACATGGTAATCAGTACTTGTTGATGTGGTAACAACTTCACTAAAAATTTAGAACCGTGTGTACCTCAACATTTTGGGGTGTTGCCAGTTTATATCGCATTCTGTTATGGATCGCATGTTTAGTAAATAGATCGCTAGGTGTACTGTATAAATAATTGTGAACTGTGTATATGTGTGGAGACATCCGAGAGTGTCTTACCCCACTGATCTCTGGCTGGGAGTGATAACAATGAATATCAAGGCATTAAGAATTTGCTGTGTACTGAGGAGTACAGATTTCTGTAAACGTGAGTATTGGGGAACAGTATATAAAGCTAACAAATTAAGGGCTGGTGTGGGGAGATAATGAGCCCCTCCGACAGGTTTACAGTCGTACCGCAGGTTTTACAACTCAATTTGTAGGTGTTACTGATTGCCTGAATCTGACTGTATATATATATGTACGCATTTGATTGTTGATACATAAGATGTGAAGGTTTTTAGTGAAGTTTAATTGTCAAGGAGTGAAAGTTAATGACCTTGTGTTACAGGGGAGATAGTTATACAACTGACCTTGCATAAGATATTAAGGGTAAGGCTCCAAGATATAATAGCAAAGTTCTAGGCATCTTCTGCCTTTGGGAGGTAATTAGCATATGAAAAAATAGCACAACCTTACCATGGAGAAGTGGGAGGGTGGGGGATTGGCTAGGGGGAAGTTGGCCTGCTGTATGAAGAGTTCTATGGTTCAGAGAAACTGTTTGTTTATACAAGAATCAGGAAATGACTTTACTATCTGTATTTTTCCTCATTTTGTGGGTTCAATGCCACTACTTTGTTGTATGTATCCAGAAGTAGGTCTATGTCTGGTAACTATCCCACCCATATCAATGACTGCTTTTCCATTGTGTGAAAGGAACAGATAGGTGAGGCTTGTATTTGTGTTAAAAACAGTCTTTGAAGAAGTATGTAGCTTTGGCCCCATTAGTAGAGCAGTTGACCTGGGTTCAATTCCTGTCAGGACACCTGACAAGAAGGTGATGTTCTCTTCTCTGTTACACTGGCCTCTATAGTCATATTTCCGTGTTCAAGGATGTGTAGAGACTGGTATATGATATTTATGTTTATGTTCAAAACATCTAATCTGTACAGTAATATATCCAAACCAAGTCTGCTGCTTAAATCTTTGACACAAAATACTACAGACATATCCAGAGTTATATTTATTTTCCAAGGAAAGATTTGATTTTATCCTAATGTAAGCGATCAGTGTGATAACCTATGACTCTGTAGAAGTAAATCTCAATTTCCTTGTACTATAGTGATATGTAGACCAGCCTGGAGGGGTGCCAACAGTAAACTTGATTTATTCTGCTGTGTAGACCCTGATATCATTGATTTGAGAAGGTTCTAAGTGATTCTGGTGTAAAACATAGCTGATGTCAAGTTTAGGATTAGATCTCTGAATATCTAGTAATAACATGGAAATCTCACAAAATGAGAGCTTGATGACCCTAAGGTAGGAATGAATGAGATCTTGTTGACCCTAAGGTAGGAATGAGATCTTGATGACCCTAAGGTAGGAATGAATGAAATCTTGTTGACCCTAAGGTAGGAATGAGATCTTGATGACCCTAAGGTAGGAATGAATGAGATCTTGATGACCCTAAGGTAGGAATGAGATCTTGATGACCCTAAGGTAGGAATGAGATCTTGTTGACCCTAAGGTAGGAATGAATGAGATCTTGATGACCCTAAGGTAGGGATGAGATCTAGATGACCCTAAGGTAGGAATGAGACCTTGTTGACCCTAAGGTAGGAATGAATGAGATCTTGATGACCCTAAGGTAGGGATGAATGAGATCTTGATGACCCTAAGGTAGGAATGAGATCTTGATGACCCTAAGGTAGGAATGAAGGAAATCTTGATGACCCTAAGGTAGGGATGAATGAGATTTTGATGACCCTAAGGTGGGGATGAATGAGATTTTGATGACCCTAAGGTAGGAATGAGATCTTGATGACCCTAAGGTAGGAATGAATGAAATCTTGATGACCCTAAGGTAGGGATGAATGAGATTTTGATGACCCTAAGGTGGGGATGAATGAGATTTTGATGACCCTAAGGTAGGGGTGAGATCGTGTTGACCCTAAGGTAGGGATGAGTGAGCTTTTGATCACCTTAAGGTAGGAAGGAATGGGATCTTGATGACCCTGGAAGAAACATATGGGATCTAGGTGGCCTTTGAAGGAACAGCTATGAGATCTTGGTTGGCATTTTATTGGGAAAGAATGCAATTTTGATAACCCTTGTAAGGAACTACTATGAGATCTTCATGATGCGACTAGAAGGGGGATGTGATTTCAAGGGATGGTGCTTTTTTTTGATGTACATAGTAAAGAATAGTCAACAGGATGCTGTTTATGCACTGTTTACACACTTTATTTATACACTAGATATCAGCGTCCCTTTGTGAACTGTGTAGTTGCCCTTGAAATGTTTTTATAGCAATATCTGATCTTACAAACATTCCCGCAAAGGATCATAACATTTACATGTATACGTACACATTGACAATCTAAAGCAGACTGCATAAAAATAAACCAGGACATACAATGGGGAGAGAGAGTGTATTAGATATAGTGGAATGTACCAGGATAAAATCATCAGTTTTCTGTAGGATCTGGACAATTAAAGTTAGCCAGTACATCTATCTGTGAGTGCTTCTCTGTTTACTTATGGAAATGAAGATGGAAGCTACTGGTGCGGTGTGTTTTTGAATACTTATCGCTGTGTGTACAAACTGAGACTGACAGAGTCCTGGGGCAGTGGTCAATGGTTACAGCAATATACTGGTACAGACTACATCATCATTTGTGTGTTCTCAACTATATATATCTCTACAAAGAAAATCACTTTTACCTATTTATCTGAAGAAGATATCAGGACCTTTGTGTCTGAGGTAGACCAGGACTTGTATTTGTGAGTAAGATATCAGGACCTTTGTGTCTGAGGTAGACCAGGACTTCTATTTGTGAGGAAGATATCAGGCCCTTTGTGTCTGAGGTAGACCAGGGCTTGTATTTGTGGGGAAGATATCAGGACCTGTGTGTCTGAGATAGATATCAGGAATTGTATTTGTGAGGAAGATATCAGGACCTTTGTGTCTGAGATAGATATCAGGACTTGTATTTGTGAGGAAGATATCAGGACCTTTGTGTCTGAGGTGGACCAGGACTTGTATTTGTGAGGAAGATATCAGGACCTTTGTGTCTGAGGTAGACCAGGACTTGTATTTGTGAGTTAGATATCAGGACCTTTGTGTCTGAGGTGGACCAGGACTTGTATTTGTGAGTTAGATATCAGGACCTTTGTGTCTGAGGTAGACCAGGACTTGTATTTGTGAGGTAGATATCAGGACCTTTGTGTCTGAGGTAGATATCAGTACTTGTATTTGTGAGTTAGATATCAGGACCTTTGTGTCTGAGGTAGATATCAGTACTTGTATTTGTGAGTTAGATATCAGGACCTTTGTGTCTGAGGTGGACCAGGACTTGTATTTGTGAGTTAGATATCAGGACCTTTGTGTCTGAGGTGGACCAGGACTTGTATTTGTGAGGTAGATATCAGGACCTTTGTGTCTGAGGTAGATATCAATACTTGTATTTGTGAGTTAGATATCAGGACCTTTGTGTCTGAGGTAGATATCAGGACTTGTATTTGTGAGGTAGATATCTGGACCTTTGTGTCTGAGGTAGATATCAATACTTGTATTTGTGAGTTAGATATCAGGACCTTTGTGTCTGAGGTAGATATCAGGACTTGTATTTGTGATGTAGATATCAGGACCTTTGTGTCTGAGGTAGATATCAGGACTTGTATTTGTGAGTTAGATATCAGGACCTTTGTGTCTGAGGTAGATCAGGATTTGTATTTCTGACTTTTGGTATCAGGCCCTTTGTGTCTGAGGTAGATCAGGACTTGTATTTGTGATGTAGATATCAGGACCTTTGTGTCTGAGGTAGATCAGGATTTGTATTTCTGACTTTTGGTATCAGGCCCTTTGTGTCTGAGGTAGATCAGGACTTGTATTTGTGATGTAGATATCAGGACCTTTGTGTCTGAGGTAGATCAGGATTTGTATTTCTGACTTTTGGTATCAGGCTCAGTGTCTTTAGGTAGGTATATCCTGCAAATTTAACTTGTATCCGTAATACCCTTTCAGAAGAACTAATCGTGACATGTTGACAAATTCAGATATAGCCACTCATCGTTTGTTTCTATGGAGATCATTATAGATTTTTTTTCAGTTTTGTTTTGTGCCATAAGTGTGGACTAATCCCTTAAGAGGCAGGATTTATTAGAGTGAGATATATTGGTACATGGCCACTTGTGTTGTTGACCATACTTAAAATCAGTCCTATCCCAGATTTCCACAGGAAATGAGCGGAGGGATGATGAGAGTAGGTAAACAATATCTAAGGTCATCTCTCTGTAGGGACTATCACTCCAGTACTGATAGCCACACCAACACAGGTCACAGGGGGTATTAACTGTCACCAGGAAAGTGTTTTTGATCACACTTTCTGGTGCATCATACACGCTCAGAGTACATAAACCACGGCCTTGTGATATTTCTGTAGATATAAGTAGCAAATAAGGTTTTAAAAAGTCAGTCTATGTAAGTCAGGTTATACCTTTAATCTGTTACTGAAAGAAGATTTGTCTTTATTCTTCTTCCCTCACACCTTTACTTAACTTTCCACTGATCCCAGACAATGCTTAATTCAATCAACATAGCATCAAACCTTACACAAACTTGAATACCACTTTAGCATTTTATGTTTGAAACATTTTGGGTTTTTTCGTTAAAGCTATAGTTTGATAATTTTGTTTGTCTTTTACAGGTTACAGACTGTACCGACCTCTCAGACAACCTCAAGTTACCCAGACTACCAAGTTGTCAATGTTTCCGCTGAGCGCCTAGAGCGTGATCTCACAGCTGAGTTAAGGTCGGACCCCTCTGAGCTTCAACACTGGCCATGGTACCATGGCAATATATCTCGACAGCATGCTGAGAAAGTCGTGACTCGTGACGGAGATTTCCTTGTGAGAGATTGTATATCTCAGCCTGGAGATTTTGTCTTGACTACTGGGTGTCGGGGGGTACCAATACATTTTGTGATCAATTCTCAAATAACGGAGAGACCTGATTCTACCACACCAGATATATCCTATTATTTTGAGGATGAACAATTTGGTTCTGTACAGGATTTGGTAGACTTTTACAAGTCCCATCGCAAAGGGATCACAAAAGCATCAGGTGCTGTGATAAAGAATCCTATTGGTCGAACCATGCCGCTGAGCTATTACGACTCCAAATATGGTAACAAGGCAAGTCTGATTGGTGCTGCAGACTATGCATACACACCTACACAGAGTCCTCATGCTAGTCCATACAACAGCCCCAAAGTCAGTCCTAGGGGAAGTCCTAAGTCTCGACATAAACGGCCATTACGCACAGGTAGTCAGCCTTTGCTGGACATTGTGGACACAGAGGATCGGGAGAATGTGATTATATCTAACATGGATCGTTGTGACAGTTTACCCAGCATTCCGAATAAACTTGGGAACACATCATTGACAATGAAGACTTCTGTATCATCATCTAATTTACCCCCGTATCATGTGAGGTGTGGAAGTGAACCAGTGCTGATGGACCCAGGTCTCTTTATCGTAAGTAATAGACAGGGACAGTATCTCCAGATTCCAGCCGAAGCACGTCTCATGCCTTCCAGCTCAGACAGCAACCTCTCAAAGCCAGCACCTCCCAAACCTAGTCGTATACCATCTGTTAAGTATAAACAAAGACCCAAAGTTGAAGTGCGAAATCGTGACATGTATGAGGATGACGGAAGGGATTACTCAGATTACAGCCAGGTGAAGGAAGCACCTAGCTGGCTGGAACGAAACAATTTGTCAAATCAAAACAGGGCATTCCCTGTGGACCAAAATGCTAATTTGGCTGGGGACTCGCATATGAATGATTATGATAATGGTTATAACTCTGAAAAAATTCCGTACAATATTAATCAGGAAAAGGTGCGAAATGGAAACTCAAACCTGCATATCACTGACAGTCAAAGGTCAAGGTTATCATCTGATACAAAGTTTTCATTCTTGGATAATCGTGACTACGCTATGGTTCCGGATACTCCAACCACTAAAACTCCCACCAATAAGACTAGTGGTGAGAATTTTGAAGATATCTCTAGCTCAGACATGCTTAAAAGAACTAAAAGTCAAATGATGTCCATACCGACTGATAATGTTGGATCAACCTTAAATATTGCTAAGTATTCAAGTGACATTTTGCCAGAGGAAAATAAACCTTTGGAAACTTCAACATTAGTGACTGTGAAAAGCTTGTTACTTTCAACAGATCCAAGAATACTAGCATTACACATGACCAAAATTGACCTTGAGAGTCTAAAGGTCATTTTTGACAGTGATCTTGGAGTTGGTGTGAAGTCGGGATTGGAGTTAATGACACTTCCACAGGGGAAACGGCTGCGACAGGACACAGTTGAGAGGTAAATACAGCATCAAATCAGGAATATTTATAGAAGCATCAAGTGATATACATACAAGCGCATGTATTAGAAAGTGTAATTACTGCAAAATAACTATCATAGCAAATGTAATGATAGCATTTATAATAGTAATTATAACATTAACTACAACTGGAACTGTTATGATTAATTCCTGTTCTAGGTCTGATCTTATCAATCTGATGAGCATTCTTTGAATATTTTTAAACATTTTATTTTGAATTACTCTGTAAGTGTATATTTTTTTGGTTATTGAAATAATGCATACAAGTACACTGCTGTTGATAAGTTCAACAAGTTATAGTTTTACATGACGCACCATACTGCCATGCAGCGTTAGTAATGTTCGTGGAGGGTTTAGTTTCAATTCCGAACCACACTATCAATGATGTGTGTTATGATAAGTAAGAAATTCTGCCTCTATACAAACAGTGGGATAGGGAATTTGTACCCTGCATCTGTGATTTTAATGTATTATCAGGTAAATAATTTATCAAATGTTTATTCTAATGTGAAAATCATTTCAGGTGTTGCTGTTTGAAATTATTCACAAGGACCACAATTTTGACATGTCAGAAAGTAACAGACCGTGCTAAGATGCTTAGTCAGTGGATAGAGGTCGCTCTTCAGTTGAGGGTCACGCTAGGAAACTTGTTCGCTTTTTCTGCGGTGATGGAAGGCCTGGCTAGTATTCAGGTCAGTATTCTTCGTAAAAGTTTAGAAAACTCCAAGCTTATTAATGTCATTTTTTCTCAGACATTCTGATGATTTTATATACATTCCATCAAATGCTACTTGGAAAATCTAGCATAAAATTTCTTTATCATCATCATCATCATCATCATCATCATCATCATCATCATCATCATCATTTTTCTGTTAAAGTTGATTGTGTTTTGAATATATCAGGAATGGCAGATCTGTAATTATTTAAACACTGAACTTAAAAAAACATTTTAAGTAGAATAACAAAAATTGTTACAGGGAATAGTAGCTTAGGAATGATTGATCGATATATTTGACTAGAGTCTCATGTAAACAAACCACAAACATTGTCTGGAGGTACAAAGACTGAACCTGACAAATCTCTGTTACAGATTCAGAGGCTGAGAGATACTTGGATGGTGCTGAGACAGAACCACACGTCCAGTGCTTTTACCTTTGACACAAAACACAAGGCAGCACTCAAGTCACTCAATGATGGCAGTGGCTTGCTACCCCTCCAAAATGTAACCATACCAGACATTAGTTCTCTTGTGGTGCTGCTAGAACGGGACGATGATTCCCTTCTAGATTATCTCCCTTGGGAGAATGCCGATCCAAACTCGGGGTTAGACATTTTATTGACCCACCTGGACACAGCACGTTTGATCACTGCCCAGGCAGGACTGTACAGTGTTACAGGTCAAGCTTTGCTGAACGCCTTTACCCCTGATACCGAACTATTAGATATTTTTCGTACAGAGTTCCAAATGAAGCTGCTGTGGGGCGCCAAAGGGGCAAGTGTTGAACGGACATTAAGGCTGAATAAATTTGAACAACTACTGACTGTCTTGTCAAATCGAGCAGAGCCCCCTGGTGATGATGGCACAGAAGTGTGATTGAAACAAAGATTTAGTGATGTGTGACGTGGTGATGTTGTAGAGTGAATGTTTGACTAAACTGTTTGTGTTTTTAAAAATCGTTACCAGGCAAGCAAGTTGTGCTGATGGTATAGGTATGAAAATGAGTGCCCAAGTGAACTGTGTGGAATTGAGTGATGGACAAGTGTTTTATCAGTATTGTTATAAAGTCTTCCAGAGTCTGATGACTCTCATAACTGGTGCTGGATGGTCGAATTAGGATCCATTCATAAACATATAAATCCAGTTTACAGCAAATGATATATATAAGTATAACAGAATACTCATCATTATCATTATGGCATGTTCGTTAAGGAGTCATACTGTTCTAGGATGTCATTGTCAAGCATTTAATACCTTAATATTGTAAGATATATAATATGTTACATAGGTAGGATATTTTAAAGGCCATTTAAAGAAAAAGTGGTTCTTGATTTTTAATTTGTTAAAAACTAGTCCCATCTAGTTCTTTAAACTCTCAGAATATTGAACAGAACTTGTTTGCAGTTCTTCTAAATTCTCAATAAGGCACCTAACATTAACTGCATTTGATTGTTTGTTAAGCTTTCTGTATATTGATTTTTATTTTGAGAAATTACTTGATGGGAGAGATGTACTCAGAGATTTTCATATTAATATATAACCATTAATACTTACTTAGATACTTAAAAACAAAACAAGAAGAATTTGGCTATAATGCATTCTTGAATGAGCAAAAAAAAGTTTCTTTCACAAATAAAATACTCAAGTTCATGCTACATCACTTTTGTTACTAATTCAGAAAAAGTGATGATGAAATTGTCTTACTTCGATAATTTCCCGAAGTTCAACAGATACTTTGTCTTTCATTCAGGGTGTCATTTTGAAATTATCATGCAGGCATTAAACTGAATATATTGAATTAATGATTTCAGAAATTCTTTTGGAAGAGAATGTGATCTTTGAAGTATCCTAGGGCATGTTTAGTTTTTGTTTTAGACACAGAGATGTTTTATCTACTGAACTTTTTATCTTTTAGCATTTTTTTGGTAAGATTATATTTTTGCATTGATGTCTAATAATTATTTTCTTAAGTTGTATTTTTATCAAATTTATAGGAAATCTGCATGTTTCTTTTGATAAAAGTCAAAGTATTTGCAGATTGGTCGGTAAATTTATTGAATACAGTGTAAATGAAAAAATTTGAAACAACTTCCCATAGCTCTGTTTTAAAGGAAAGCCCACTTCATTTTTTGTGAACTCAATTATTCTGTAAGCTGTATCTTACTATTAAAGTAAGGCAACATGTAAGTTTGGTATATGCTTACCCTTTTGTGGAGAAGGTGGAGAATTGATCTACTTTTAATCTGATGAATTATCAGTATTTACCTCCCTTTGTGGTAAAAGTGTATTACCTCCCTTTACATAATGTTCCCGAATACTTTATTCCAGTGTACCATTGAAAAATATTATCTGGATAAATGTTTCAACAGAATCCTCATTCAACCTTTGGGAATAATAAAAAGAAATTGTATATATTTACATACTGCAGTTCTTTGTGCCCATACTCCTCAGAGACATGTGTAATATTTACATCATCAGATTGTTAACTTAAGTTAATGTTTAACCATTTTGAAATATTTATGTAATTTTGGAAAATCATTGTGATGTTGTAACAAGCTTACTTCAAAGAAAAAGTTAGATTTCATTGCCCTTTATAAAGAATACTTATTTTCACAGGCAGTTATATACATTTAAATATCCACAGATATAAGGAATTGAATATTCATCTACTTTATACAAGATGTATATATGCTTAAATTCTTCATTGCTTTACAGAAAACAAGATGGTTTCTCTCTACTTGGGCCATTATCTAAACACAAAATTATTTCATTTGTGATAAAGTTTGTACACAGAAATATTTTTATTTGAATACAGGGGTACTGGTGTCAACCCTAAGAAAAGATAACTCCCATAAACATGTGGTTTGTTTTAAATGTGAGAATAAAGATATTCTTATATTACAGCAAATACTGTACTGTTTATATCACAGCAACATTTTAAGTGTATATCTTGTACATGTACTTACTAAAAATATCAAATGAATAAAAAACAATATAACAATTACATATTTCATTGTGATTCTTTCATTAAAATCCATGTCATAGATAAATATCGATTTCCTGCAGTTTAAGTGCCTCCTCCAGGAATCGAACCCGGGACCTCTGACTCACTTATCTGATGGTCAACCGATAGAGCTAATGAGAAGTTCTCCCTTGCCGAGCGGTATATTGCAGCTAGTATTTTAACAGGGTTATACATATTTGTTTCATTGTCAATAGTGATGATTTTAATTTCAACTACATATAACGCTTCAGCCTTTTCCATGATAAAGGTTCACGGTTAACTGGATCACGTAAAAGGCTTCATTATCTACCATGATAAAGATTCGCTGGTTGGCTGAAATGCATTTAAAGTTTTCAGCTTCAATATGGTAAAGTTTCAAGGTTACCTAAACGCTCGATGCTTCTGTATCAGCCATGATAAATATTTATGGTTGACTGAGTTTCAGATACGTTCCATTTATTATAATGAGATAATTAAAAGAATGAAAACTTCCTAGTTCTAGATCGATGGCGATTTTGACATTTAGTTGTATTTACTTCTTAACGGAAGGTTCAAATTTATCGCTTTTGGTAATGTCGGATCAGGGGAGCTTACTCTTACTACATATAAAAAGTTTTGGCGTATTGATATAACTGATGATCTTGTGTGCGAGATCAGCTGATCGTTTCACATGAATGACTGTATTTATAGTGTTTCAGATGGTAGACTCGAGAAACAACAGTCAGAATGTATATATATATTATATAACGGATTTTGATTGTCCATATGGACAAAGATGTGTGTGTTATCAGTGGCCTTATCTGACCGCTGAAAACGGTTGAAGAGAGTGCTAACCTCATAATTTAATGAATTTACCACAGAAACTATATAACTTTGGAAGATTATACTGTAGCGTATGTACTGAACTGTTTGTACGAAATCTACTGGTTTCGTTACGATGAATTATTTGTTTAATTTCCAAGTATTGTGTACATGGTCTAGAGGGAACATTTCAAGATAGCGCAATCTTACTGCCGAGGATTCTCAGCTGCGATCAACATTCGCTTCAGTTTATTATTACACAGAATCCGACGCACATTTGTACCTTTCATGTAGACTATGTCGACAGATGTGTTAACACGCCTTATTAGGACCAGAGTGTCAGTACTACAGTACTGTGTTCGTCGTCGTCGCCATCTTGATTTTTCCTTCCAGATCGCGCACACGATCCAACTGTCTTTTTTATCTACATATTCCAATCTCCGTCTTGAAATATGTTCAATTTACTTGAAATAAATTATGATATAGGCATAAGTGGACCAACTTATCGATTGTCCTTGAGCTTGTCATTTACAAGTACAGTGTGCGCGTACAGTTGTGCCTATCACGAGACACACATTCCAGCCTTGCCCGATTAAAACTGCTTTATCAATACCACATATTACATATATGCAAATATTGTTTTAACGATAACTGCATTTCAGATGCTTTTTATCATGTCTCGTGCTTGGTACGCGGTTATGTCACATGCTGAGTAAAACATTATCTTTATACCTACTAAGCGGTCTTTGGTCTAAGACTTGATGATAGATATGACATACGTATATATATATATTGTTTGTTCTACATCACTAAGATATATCCTCGCATGATTCGGTTGTGTGTGCCAAATCTGTTAACATACGCAAAACCAATTTCTGTTTCTTATGGTTTGATTTCTTAACCAAAGGCAACAAGTTAACGGAATCACAGCATTTCATTATAAGTGAGTGATATATCGTTCTATTATGGCTGAAAGTTTGACGCGAAGTGGAGGTCAGATTCCCGTTCGTTTGAAGGGCCAGTCTACTTGTGTTTATCATCATGGGAAATCACTGGATCTGTTTTGCGGAACATGTCAAGAGATTGCCTGTGTTGACTGTACGTCTTCGACACACAATGGCCACACCTTTGTGACACTGAGTAAATATTCCACGAGGAAGAAAGCAAAACTTAAAAAGTTGATAATAAAAAAAGAAACGAAAGAAATTCCTTCGATAAAGGAAAGTATCAGAATTATTGATGCCAACATCAACGAAACCGACACCACGTTCACTTCCATCGCTTCAGAAATTGTAAAACAGAAGGATCGACTAAAACGAAAGGTGGATGCACTCGCAGATCAAACACTTGCTGTTTATGAAAAACTTAAAGTAGAAAACATGATTTTGTTAGAAAACTATAAAGAAGAACATGAAAAACGACACGCAGTGCTGAAAAAACAGGTACAGGAATGCCGGACACTGGTTCAAACTAAGGAGGATATCACCTTGTATGATGGTGCTATCGATTTTGAGCCTCCGGTAATATTGCCTCCAATGCCAGTGCTAAATACAGCTAGCTTTTCCCCTAATCTGATGCCACTTGACCTCCTCAAACACGCGTTCGGTAAAGTGACAAAAGGCGACAGTAAAAGCAATACCCCTGTGGAGAAAGTCTCAGAAGTTCCAAAGAACAAGGGAGAAACTTCAACACATTTAGTATTGCAGGCAGAACAAAAAGATAACATTTCTGATACGACGCAGCTAAAATCTACTAAACCTCCTTCGGCTGTGAAAGAAGAATTTACTCCTTTTAGCCGACATGAAAAGGAAGATTCTGTCCTACCTCCGGAAACCGAATCTGCTGTGTTTCCCGAAAGACTTAATCAAAAGGCAAGAAGGAAGAATAAGAAGAATAATCCTAGACAAACGCCACCACCGCAACGCCCACAAGACACGGAAAACGTAATTATAATGCCAATCTTAGCGCGGATGAAAAATGGTGATATGTGGATAGCGGACGGTTATAGAAAAGCCTTAGTACGTGTTGGCAAAACAGGCATAGAGAAGGAAATCATACAACACACAAGACGAATCACAGACCATTCCTTCTCCAGTGAAAACCAGGAACTATGGATTTGTTCCACGGACGATAATAGTGTCATGAATGTGACTTCTGTATCGACGACCTCCAGGTTCAACACCGCTGAGTCTCCTTTGTGTATATGCGCAACAATGGATGGCCACATCATCGTCGGCATGTCAAACCAAATAACAAAGTTCAACAGCCAGGGGGACGTCATCGTCACCACTAAACATAGCATTTTCTCGATATTCAGCCGACAAATTGTTTGTGTACCAGGGTTTATTGTAGAATGTCGGATGACGAAAAATATCGCAGTGAGTGACACAGCGTCAATGAATGTACTAGTGATGGACAAAACGTTTCATGAGTTATTTCGATATCCTGGACATCAGCCGGAACATCTCCACCATCTCATATCGGTAGATCAATTTCTTCCTACATGGATTACTTATAGTCCGGATGGGTGCATGTTCATAAGAGACATTGGAAACAACGTTGTGCATCACATCGGTGGAAACGGCGAATTTTATAAATTGCTTGTGAAGAAATGATACATTGAGAGTAGTCTTTGGCATGACTTGCCTTGGACGTGTTATTGGAACTGTACGGATTTCTGTCACATACAAAAATCGGAAGTGCTTGTAGGGGGAATGCTTAAACATGATAGTGATATTTACTTATTGATTTGAAACAATTAACATAAATTATCAAATATCGTGCTGTACATAGGACAAATCACAGATCACTCCTCTTCAGTGAAAACCTTGAACTATGGATTTGTTCCACAGCCGAAAACAGTCATGAATGTGACCTTTACATCGATGACCCACATATCCTACGATTTGAGTTTGTTTATTGACTTGAAATATATGACACCAATTACCAAACTAGATGTACTGACGTGTACAAGGCTTGTAAGCCTGTATTGAAGCTCATTTCAGGATTGATTATGGAAGGAAACTAAATAGTGTCTACGAGGAAACTAGCATGGCTCTAGTTTCACAAAAAGTTCATTAAGGAAATTCGATTTGAAACTTTCCATGGGGTCATCACATAATTTAATGGTATCCGCTTAATTTAAATTCATAATAGTTTTTTTGAATAGACAAAATAAGGAACATTTGTGAATTTTTTTTATCCAGAGTGACTCTGTTACCGGGTTGTATGTAATTTATGACAAACGAAGTAATGAAAAAACCAAAATTTAAAATAATCAGAAAGACAACCGATCTAAGATATATCAAATGACATCTATCATGTGACCAGCGTTATTATTGTAGGCATGGCAACAACGACAGATCATCGTCTAATTGGCTGTTCAATTGCAATTTCACTGTCTATAATGAACTCTTTATCATAGTCTTAAGTTGTATCTGTGGAGGACATTGAACTATCTTGTTACGACAGTTATTGTCGTGTCGCACAATATGTGACATGCTATTGATGTTTTGTGAATGAGAATTCATATGATGTGTGCTTTTGTACACCTTTTAAAGGTTCGGAAGTTTAATTAATGTCGAAATGATTATTTCAGTACTTTATTTTGTTCAAGAATGAGCTTAACACGATCCTAGATTGATTGAACGGTTTTTTTTAAAAAAAATGTTAACCAACACAGAACGGTTTGAATGTTTACTTTTGCATTAATTGTGTTATCTGTATTATTGACATTAACAAAATAGTATACAAATTACCATAGTCTATTTAAGAAACACATGCCTAAGCTTTGTATAAACATGAGGCTAAAACAAAATAAAGTGTGAAATTATTCACCTTTGTTAATCTTTATTTTATCTCAAATGTCTCATCCATTTTTCTATCCAAACAATTGTCCAAGTGTATCTCCAATAGCTTTTCCTGCACAGAATGCTCCTGAAACGTCACAGATAGGGTCCACAACTCCTCCGACAAGGCAAGCTGCCCCAGCAACTCCACAAGCCCCATCAACATAGTCATCAGCGATCTGTTGGTGTTCCACTGGCAACGCACCTGTCGCATAGAAATACAATAATTTATCACTAATAATATGTTTACAAATTCTTAATACAAACACCAAATCAATGAAACGAACAAAAGATATTAATAAAAAAAAGATATTAAGAGATAATTCAAAAAGACAAGAATGTGAGTTGACCAGGTGTTCCGGAAGGGTAAATTTTCTTCTTCCTCGGCGACACACGCGTTGTAAACATTATTCAAGCCAATTAAGCAATCTAACAACAGTGAAACTACCAGAATTACTCTAGACAAACACACGGAATATAGTGAAAACACATTGATTATTTTGATTATTAGAGGAGAGGCATGTCCAAAAACCTTAATCATGAGCAGTCATATTAAATGGGAATACCTCTACCAACACTCGCACACACAAAATATACAAACTGTAGGTAATTGTGAAATATGAACATAGCAATGAAGTCTACTAATACATGATAAAACAGTAGACTTACTCCTGGCTAGGGTCGCCATACGTAAGGTGTTGGCGATCTCATGATCAGATTTAGACTTCACTTGGAAGGCATGGGATGCGGCAAAAAACAAAAGACAGCCGAACAGTACTGTCAGTTGCATGTTGATTTTGGTAGAAATGTCAAATTCTGAAAAAGAATTTTTTAAATCGGATATAAAAGGCCTTGCAATGAGTCACCAACTAACGAAACATTCCGGAAATATAATATTGTTTGCAGATCTCCTTTTCCATGTACTTGAATCTTCTTCAGTTTGAAGGAAGTTATAGAGAATAGAAAGGAAACCAAAACAAAACATAAAACAACACAAACGTGGTCATTACCATTGGTGTACCATCTGTTCCAGCCAATGGTTGTTGTGTATTTGTATCTGAGTCACTTAAGTGATATACGGTTCAGTTGCTGATAATTATTAATCCAGACTTTTCTTAAAATATATTTCAAAGCCAACAAAGTCACATAAGTACCGTGATATGATTACAAATCGATTGAATTACGAATTTATTTTTCATTCAAGCAAATATAGGTACATTGTGACTTAAAACCTAAACCATCAATATGTAAGCTGATATTCCTTACCTGAGATGTCTTAGGACGAAGATGTATGAAGAATATTTTGGTTCGTGGAATTTATATGAAAATGAGAGTCGTGATGACAGCAATTGACCAATCCATGCAGAGTATTGATCAGTAAACAACATGTAGGATTGGCTGTATAGATACAATGACCTAACTGCACAACGAAGTTGAAGGCCGACATATACCTGCTGTTTTCAAGTTTTCCGCATTGTCGTTCTTTTAAATTTAGAAATAATAGATTGGCTAAAAGTCAAATAATTAAAAAAAAAAAAAAACACACACACACACACCCACACACACACCATCACACACACACACACCATCACACACACACACACCATCACACACACACACACACACACACACACACACACACACACACACACACACACACACACACACACACACACACACACACACACACACACACACACACACACACACACACACACACACAACACACACACACACACCATAACACACACACAGAGACAATTTCGAGGAAATTAGGTTTTCCTACGTCTAAGGTATTTTACTTTCAACAGATAAGCCAGATAATTTCCTTGCTGTAATGTTAAAAACAATTACTTGCACTTTTTGACCAATTCGTCAAAATTCAAACTTCAAAACCTTGTAGCATTTTTCAAAGTCAAGAAAATAACAGAGTTATATCTCAGTTCGTCACACCAAAGTTAATAAGGATGAAACTGGTGGATTCAGGTGTCCAACACATGTATAAACAAAACAAAGACAAAATCACCATAAACCCTTTATAATAAATAACCTACGTCTATATATCATAAATATTTATATTATAACCTAGTATTTCGTGTAATGCGTACTAAATTGTTTCCAAGCTATAGGTCATGACCATTTACAAAATAGATTATCAAGCTACCTTGACAAACCAGCCATTTCCAGATTATCTCACAAACACGGAACTCAATTTTACAAAAACAATGTTGCCATATGTTGAATTCACAATTCACTAGTAGTAATCGACGCAATAACGTTTTTTAAAACATAAAAGCATATTGGTACAGCGAAAATAAAAAATAAATTTTAAGAAAATAATAAAAAGGTTTAATAATTTGATGAATACACTTCAACATTTAGATACAAGATATATTGAGTATTCTATTTTTTCGTTTGAGATGTGTGAGGCTGAATGCCCGTTGTAAGTGTACAGTTAATGCGGGAATTCGTTGTCTCCCAGCTGGGTAGTGTCTAGAACACTAAGCCTCAGCTATCCATTTCGTATTGTTATTGTTGCATCTTGTGACTGAACAGTGGCACTAAAGGTCAAACGAATAAACCTACTATATCAGTAAGACGTCTAAAGTAATCTATTCCTATGAATCATTGATGTTAACAGTACAACATCTAAAGAATCCAGTCATCCGGATAGAAATATCATTCGCTCTTTCCCTTTCTCATCTTACTTGGATTGACCAACATGACAGGTATTGTCGATGACGTTGAAGAAACTTTCCCTGCGGTGCGTCTCATTCTATTTTCCTTGTACATTTTTCCACGAGGCTCTGTGTCATATTTTTTCCTCGTTTAATTAAATTTGTGTTGAAGATTTGTTTTTGATATGTCGGTAGATAGTACATCGAAAAGGGAAATAGTTAATAAGTAGCACACAAAGACAAAGTTCGGTATATATGTATGATACATGATATGTGTATAAAATTTTCTGCAATTTATGATGACAAGTTCCTATAAAAAGATGAATATTTTGTGAAATAGATAAAGATAAATATTGGCCTGTGATTTGACTATATCATACATCGTTATTGATACATCTGTTTTGAAAAAGGTTTCGGTTTTCTTCTAGGATACAACAATTAAGGTCCGTAGCATTAATGACAAGTCCAGGAAGGATGAATCAACTGTATGATGCAGTTTGAGAATTCTGAAAGTTACAGTTTACGCGTGTGCCTTCTGTACAGTCAATGTTTGGAGCCAGTGTTAAGCATGAAACCATATCATTGATAATTTAAAAATCAGGCGTAGGATGCTTAAAGGGGGGCAGTGTTTATCATTATCTGTATTTGGTCAATCAGAACGTGTGAAGATTGCAACTGTTCATTTATCTATAATTCCAAACATCATGGATTGGTCAACCTAAATCATGACGATTAATATTCTCCTATAAATTCCTCCGTCCGACATTTTCCTGCCCAATTCTCGCCATACAACCTCCCAGGTAGGATTATTGTTCATATTTAAGCAGTTAAATTTTAAATTCACTTCAATTTCAAATGCATTTCTTTAGTTATAATTTTCTTTTGTTTGTTAATATATTTAAATTAATCAAATTGATTAAGTTTCAGCAACATCTCTGAAATAAGAAAGTTTTATGGAACTGGGGTTAGAAGGGTTATTTAATCATGGGCGTATGATAATAGAGAATGTGTGTGTTATTTATATCTGAATACATAACACAACTTTAATTTTGATTTTCGTTAATCTATACTGTTTTAACAAAAAGAAAT